CTGCAACGCACTACAAGATCCCAAGACAACCAACGCTTCCCGCTCAAGAATAGCCATCGGACGACCCAATCCGCCAGCCATCAGTCGATGCTCCAGCTACAGACGCACCTCCTTCCAGTCGTAGTCGCCATTGAGTCTTGTTTGTAAAATCTCACATTCGTTGGATTCGTGCTACAGCGTCGTGCGCCACAGCAAAATTCTTTCAAAAGCCGTGAACGACAAGTGTCTTTCTTCCCCGCATTTATCCAAGTCGTAAGAATGAAATCAAAAAACTCAACGGTAGATGGCCCACGACAACGTTTGGTTCTCCCACCCAAGAAAATACGGAAAAGGATCTCGTCAATGGTAGGACCGAGGACCGTCGATGGCTGGCCTGGGCCGGAGCCAGGGAGGATGTGGAATGGACAGTGTAGGCCATGCTGCCATGGCTGTTGGACGCTGATGACCCGCACCCGAATCCAAGACAACGACTAATGCTGTAGCCGAGTTTGCGCTCACCAGGCCGGTCTCATCCGCAAATACGATCTCAACATGTGCCGTCAATGCTTTCGTGAATACGCCAAAGACATTGGTTTCTTGAAGGTAGCGACCGCCCAACTGACGTGTAGCAAAAATAAGCTTGCATCTTTCTTGCTCTACTACCAAATAAACCTTAACGATTCTGACTTGCGCACTTTTCCAAACAAACCACCGATGGAGCGGTTGGCCAAACTGCTTGCCGAAAGACGACTCAAAGACAGCATTTTCATCCTCTGGAATACACAGCACCGGATAACGTGGGTGGTGTCGGCCCCACTGGAAAAGAAACTGAAGCTCGATTGCAAGAGCATCGACAAGTATTTTATCCCGTTTGTTGCATCCTGGTACACCCTGAAGGCAGAGACGTTTGAGTGCGACAAGGGCAAGATTCGTGAGAAGCTGCCTCGCTACCTCATCTTTGACGGCCATCGCCTTCTGGACTGGAAGGACGCCGACGGCAGGACCAAGCGGGAGCACTGGTTTGATCGGGACTTTTTTGCCTCGGGAAACGAGTTTCAGTACAAAACCGCCAAATACCTCAAGGTGGCTCGATGCAGTTGACGGCAGGATATCACGCAAGCCATGCACACTCCGTCCTACATGCAGCGCTGGGTTCTGAAGCCGCAGGTGCGGTACAGGATGATGTACAAGGTGCTGCACTTTTTGGCGCGCTCGGGCATTGGTATGATCCCGCTCTGATTGCAAGATCCGTGTACGTATCGAACGGCCGAGTCCTCGTTTTCGCCAGAAATCAAAAAAACCATTGTCCAAAACCACAAGACGGCGGTTGGTCCCAAGGCGATCAAGACTATCGAGTACAACAAGACAGCCATCACGCTTGTCAAGTATCGTCCCCTCTAACAGTAGGGACGTTGTCGGCCTGTGGACTGTAAGCCACGCCACCAAAAACGCAGTCCTTTCGCAAGTTGATGCCATCCAGGCGTACGACGTCGAGCATATTGTATCCAACAGGCAAGCTGCAGCGCAGACTCGAACCGTGTAGCTATGGGGCAGACAATGCAGATGCCTCCAACGGCGTGCTGCTGGATTCACGAATCAACCGGAGAAAGGTGCGATCGGCGCTTTGACGTCCAGGGAAACACAATGCTCTTTCTCGTGGGCGACGACATTATCCAGGACATTGACACCCAGAAAAAGGCCCAGAGAAAGTGGCTGCGAAGCCAGTATCCCTGGTACAAGCGCTTTCTCGTTCCGTCCATTTTCCTGCAGCTCTGACACATAAATCGTGGTCAATACATTTAATTTTAACAAGATTATGCCAAGCTATAGGCGCTGGCAGCTGCAGTTTCTGGCATAGCCCTCCAATCGGGCATTGAGGCTGTCGATCTGCCGGTGGAGCGCAAAGACGACTTCTTGCAGCTCCTTGTTGTGGGCAGTTATCTGGTCGTTTTTCTCTTGTAGCTCCTGAATCCACTGTTTTTTCTTCAGTCTGCACTTTGAGGCTGTGGTTGCGTCAGCCAACAGCTGCTTACCTGCGATTCTGTTTCGCTCCAGGAACTGCTTTCTTCGATCCTCGAGGGAGTCGCCCTCTGGATCGTAGGCATCTGATCTGTCGTGGCTTTCCATTTGGGGGGATCTGCTTTCTGGCGGATAGACCGCTTTTTTCGCTCGCGTGGGTCGGTTCTTGGGAGGGGTTTGCGCTGGTTCGCTCGCGCTCTGATTTGGCTGGTAACGCGAGTGTAGTACCGTCTCGGATTCTTGCTCCGATGATGACACGGCAACAGCACGGGAGCTGCTGTTGATTTTGGCATGGTGGTCTGACGCCTGCAGATAGTAGTGGTGCGGGTATTGGGGCATATGATGTGGGTGGTAGTGCTGGTAGCCATAGTCGGGGGGATAGACGGGATAGGAACCGTAGGTTGCATGAGGAGCTACTGTGCCATACATCTCCCTGGCAGGAGCCAGAGGAGGAGTCATGGTCACAATAGGGGCAAGACTGATGACCGACGAAAGCGTGTTTTGAGCTGTCACTCTATTAAATTCCACACCAAGGATCGAATCTAGCTTTGCCGACCTAGGTTTGTCTGGGTGTTCATCGAGGGTGGAATTGGGAACTCCTACGGATTGTGAGTGCCAAGCTTCCAATCAACTTAAAGAACTTGAAATGACGTAATAATTCAAGTAAAAAACAATGTTTCCAGTTCACCAACTTACCTTGCATCTTTACGTAATTTAGCTAAATTCAAAAATCTAAAAAACACAGCTCGGCAATTGGGAATTACCCGTATCCGATCGCGTTTGCTTCCGAGCCTAAATGATTTAGCCGTTCAGCAGCAAATCTCGAGAACAAATTGTGTCAACCAGGCACAAGGACGCAAAGGGAGTCGTCGGAAGTTGGCCGCAATACTAGTAATGGTTTGGCCCGTGGCCTGTTTCATCTCCTAGACCAACCCAACGACGGCCAAGAGGCAAAAGCCGCTGGAGGAGTGGGAAAAGGATGCTGCCCTGTTGCATGCCGAGCATCCGCTGAATTTAATTCCCGAGCTGTGTCGCAACTTTTACACCCTCGGCTGGGTGACCGGGACCGGAGGAGGCATTTCCATCAAGGAAAAGTAAGTGGGCAATGGATGCAAGTTGAACAGTGGAATTGAGGACACTGCGGCAGCCAGAGACTCATCGGTAGCGACCTGACGTACCTGGCACCATCTGGAGTGCAGAAGGAACGAATGCTTCCCGAGCACCTGTACATCATGAACAAGGACAAGGAAATTATCAAGGCTCCGGCGCCAGAGCTCCGCTACGGTCCCAGGTGATGCCCGATGCTTTAACGACAGCCAATGCACACCGCTGTTCTTCAACGCCTATGACATGCGGGACGCCGGCGCCTGCATCCATACGCACTCGCAAAATGCAGTCATGGCCTCGTTGCTGGAAAAGGGCAGCGAGTTTGTGATTACGCACCAGGAAATGATCAAGGGCATCCGGAAGGGCACTTCGAAGGAAAACCACAAGTACTATGACAAGATTGTGGTTCCGATTATCGAAAACACTGCCGAGGAGCGCGACCTCAAGGAGAGGATGGCCGAAGCCATCAAAAACTACCCGCTGACCAACGCCGTGCTGGTGCGACGACACGGCGTCTACGTGTGGGGAGAAACGTGGCAAAAAGGTTGGATTGCCGGAGCTGACTGACCAGCCAAATGCATGACCGAGTGCTACGACTATCTGTTTGAAATAGCGGTAAAGATGCGCTCGATCGGCCTGGATCCTGCCCACGTCCCGGAAGACAGCGAGTATGCGCACTTTCACCAGTAGCCAGTCGTTGCAGAAGCAGCGTGGCTGCGTCACCAGCGACCAGATCCACCAGGCATGACAATAAACTATCGGCAACAGCCAATCAAAAGCGTCCTGTCACAAGCACCACGACTGGAGACGCGGCACTCCCATTCTCAGAATGCATCCCCACTTTGCTTTTGACGGATGGCTTTGTCTCCGAGTCAAGTAGCTTCCGTGGCGCAATTGGCTAGCGCGTTCGACTGTTAATCGAGAGGTTGGTGGTTCGAGCCCACCCGGGAGCGAT